TAACTGATAAAGATTTTCGCTGAATAAGCTAGCAGTCGCGTCTTCATGCTTTTAAGATGTCACTGTACTTGATTTTGATAAAATTCATTTGAAAGTTGAACCCTCCTGCCCCGATCTTGGGAACATTTCTTTTTTTCACCAAGATACCGTTATTTTGGAGGTTTTAGCCCCCTTTTAGCGTTAGAACTCTCCTGGTGCAGATTGAGGAAGTCGCGCTATTTGGCCGAAGGTGCTGCATATATATGTGCATGCCATCTGGGCAGACGTAAAGTCCAAGACTTGTCCAAATGTGAATGTGGAGAGGATTGTCAAACTGTAGAATACCTTAGCATTGAATGTTCGCTCTGCAGACTAAACGGTAGTACTACAGATGTTTTGAACCTGCCCTCCAGTGACTTTCTAGTTTGAACGTTGAACGTTAATGGAGAACGTATAATCGTTATGCGAATAGAAGACCGTAAATATCAGTGATCCGCAATTTTTTCTTTGAAAAATCCGCGGTGCCGATTTCCTAGCTGCCCGCTAACCGCACTCGGATGAATAAATTTCAGATGTATAGATTTTAGACGGACAGGCTAAAGCAAGTCCTGCAAATTTTAAAAAGCCTGCAATATTTAAAATGCCAATATGACTTATTTTTTAAGTTGTTAATATGGTATTAAATATTGTCGTTGCTTGTGCGCTACAGCTGCCCCTAAGTAATTAATCCTTCAGCAACGTCGCTGTCCTTTCGCGCTGACGCCAATATTATTCATCTTATATATCTCAGGTCGCAAAATGCACATTGTAAAAGAAACTGTCGTGCAGACGCAGAAACAGCTGATAAAACACGCGACCTCTTTTACTGTATTCTGAATTGTCCGAAGACCTAGCTATGCTTCTCACGACTACTGCCCTTGTCAGGAATGGGGCTGTCGAGAGGTGGTAGGATTCTGTTGGGGCGCGGGGTATGTATAGGTAGGAAGAAAAGAAAATATTTGTAGTATCCTATTTTTATGGAGTTTACGTTGTTGCGCTAATTTCTATTTCGAAGCCGTCAGTCAAGAATGTCACTTTGCCGTTTAGGAATCACAGCTAACTGGTCACTGTGCCTTTTTTTTGCTTCTTTCGCACAGTGGCATCACACATTCACCTCGAAAGGATGAAAGACTAGCGGATCGGTCCTGGTTTTGATTTTGAGCTAGCGCGCTACAGATTGAGTTAACGTTACAACTATGTAGATGATTATGCGAACTCTAGTCATAAGCAGAAAAACTAAATTTATTGCCCTGAATCGATCGGATCACTTGAATGTTTGTACAATATTTTCAGGTAGAAAAGATTTCGTTTTTTATGGCCTGTTTCTCCAAACGACGGTTTAATCAACTGGGGCCCGTTTCATTTCAAGCGCGACAGGGCAGTCAGATTCCTGGGACCCTTCTTGCTACATCTTGTCTGTTTCACTAGGCTGTGAGCTACCGCTGTTTTATACGACACACTAGTAAGAATTTTAGTGTTGTAACCCAGAAATCGATGAGCATGCAGTTTCTGTTGTTTCCCATGGTACCAGTGGTTGGCTTTCGTTGGCTATTTATGCTGTTTCTACTACTTCCGTTTTTTCATTTAGTGGGATTGAGAGTGCCGTGCGGAGCGCTTGGAGTTCTTCGTCCAGAATTATCTTGGCTAGAAAGGTACATGACTCGACAACAGCGCCCACCAAAAAATTGAATGGGTTTTGAAGTTGGATGTTACTGTTGAATGACCGAAATTTTATGCATCTTCGAGAAATCTTTGTGAATACTACTGGTCAAGTGCAGCATAAGATACCAGCGACATAATATTAGTCTCTAGAACAGTAAGACTTCGCATTGTTTGGTATTCATAGCCAACATAGACCGGGGTTGCTCAGTGGGTAGAGCTCGGACTCAGAACAGAGAAGTCTAGTGTTCTGTCGCCTTTCTTCCTTCCAAGGCTGATTAATGAGTATCACGTTGTGGGAAGGAGATAGAAAACTACACACTATGCTTGTCACTCAGCTGTTATCGACTCTGCCTCAAAAATAAAGCACTCCTGGCTGATGGCATCGAAACGGAGATCAACGCCCCACCTTTAACTTCATGAAAACAAAGGCCCCAGAAATTATCCAATAATCATGAGAGCATAACAAAACTGACTTACCATTTCCTACTTTAGCCGATATGCGCACTCCGTCTGTGCGTGTTGATAATGACTTATGCATACTTTCCAGTCTAACTGTACGACAAATTAACGGCATTAGAACCTCATCCAACTGCGATTAGTGCGAACAAGTTGCTTCTCTTAACGTGCTTTATCGATCACACAAATTCGACAGCTTTTTCTGCGTTCGCAGTCTAGTCGATGCTCTTAGCCTGGATAATAATTGCCTTGAAACAGTGGCGAAAATGAGGAAAGTCAGGTTTTTTGATTCTAAGGCACGATTAAGAACAGTATAATCGGCAAAATTCATGCAAACATTTCAATAGCTGCCTTCAGAACTCTTCTCGGAGTTATGTAATGAAGCATAGAAACAGTTCCGCTTCCAGTATTATTACTGCTCCATTCTTTGCACACAGTTTCGGGAAGGCGAACGACAGTAGTTTTTGTTTAATTGGTAATCCGCTAGCCATTTCGAAATGCGATGAACAGTGCCGTTTGTTAGTTATATGGAATTCGTTTGATTGCAATAAGTATTCAGGTCAGGAACGAAAAATCGACGCAGGTTATCTTCGCAATCCAAGCTTATCTGTCTAAGTTCCTTCATCTTTATCTTCATTTTCAATCATCGCTTCTAAATTCAAGTCGCAGAGGCAGACGCATCAGACAGTGCTTCTAGCTTTCCCAATTATGTGCCAGAGTCTGAGCTTCCACATAAAGAAGACAATTGAATACTGGAGCAGATTCCTTCCATATATTTGCACCAGGTTAATCTTGGCCGTCCCCTAGCTCTTCTAATAATCGACTGGACAAGAAGTAGTTCCTTCGACTTCTTTTCCGGAGGCATTCGCAACACGTGCCCAAGCCATCGCAGCTGCGACTTCTCAATCTGGAGAAGCAAAGGCTGTA